TGCATGACATTATTTTGCATCATAAAATTGATGATCGACTGTAGGTCTGCCAACTTGTTTGCCAATTCATTTACTTCTTCATCCCTCCACAGGCACCTATCCCTCCATACCTGGAGGTTATCTTCGTTATAGTACTTGTTTTGGTCTGTCTTCTTCGAAGTGTCGCCCTCTTGGCCAATGTCTTTCTCTCCGTGGCCCTGGTTATGAGTTTCTGCATTGTGGTTGTCTCCTTCGATATCAAGGTCGATAGGTCTGCTACTCCCAGCAGGAGTGTCGTCCCCAATCTTTTCCTTCTGTCCGTTACTGGCCATCTATTCTTCTAAATTCCCACAGACGGCGCCAAATTGTGTGAGTGGTTTTCTGATCACACCGCCCGTTTAGTAATCAACTAGAGAGCATCGGCAGAATAGATGGCTTCAGCTAACCTGTAACAAAAAGAGAAGGCTCCGGCGGTGGTTCTACCACCCGGGGGCACTCCGACAATCAAGTCAGTATATCTCTCAAAGATAATCAATAATGCTAACTCAATGCTCAAAGCATAAATTGTGTACCTTAGACCCACAGAGGTGCCTCTCTTTTTATAGTTAACTTAATCCTAATTCTACTAGAAGCCTGACTTCTAAGGACTCTAATTCTGAACTTACCTTGGACTCTTCAAGAGATAAAGATAAACTCCCTAAGAGCTTTATCCTCATCTTGACTAAGTCTCCTCTTCATTCTTGGACTTTTGTCCCCTATCCGCTTATCTCGGATTCCGATATCTTCGGAGGAAACCTCGGCCTAACCGAGATTACCTCGACACAACGACCAGGACACGTGGTACCTAGGCTGACACGTCGGCGTCACCTTGCCACGTGTTGATACTCAGAAAATATATCCCCACAAGATGAAAGGGTTGACGATATCCGATTAACTTGATTTTTATAGGTATATTCTACTTGATACATTTTAAAATGTTAACGATTCGGATCATCAAACCGAATCCCAAAATGAGCCCATAAGGCAGCACAACAATGCCTGCAGACACCCCAAATCCTATATATACACATAGAAATTAAGGCAACAAGACGCGAGTATGGAAATATCAAAATATGTTTTCTTTGAAATTCGGGGCCTAGTGGTCATTGATCAGTACGTGTTAGGACCCATAATCAAGTGGTCAATGATAAATACTCGATGTAACCATGACACCCTCATTTAAGATCTTGCGTTCTTCTTTTTTGGCATTGACTCATGGAATGTAAGCGTAAAAGCCATCTCATTTTTTAGGGTAACTTTGTCATACATCAAAGTAAATCCACGATGTTCATATGGTGAAGGTAAAGAGATTAAAAAAAAAATTTGCCTTATCCTTCTTAATCTTCTCATTGATAGCATCCAATTCTATTAATAGCCTATTGAACTCGACGAAATGGTCCGTGAAGTTTGCTTCTTGTGTCATTTGAAGTGCGTACAACTATTTATTTAAATATAATTAATTTCAATTATTTAGACTTGGACTTGCATTTCAACTTTGTCCAAAGTTTTGTTAGATCTATCTCATTGATGACTTTCCAAAATGTACCTCAAGATACAACTGAATTGTGAGTGTGTTTGTGTGTGTTTTCCCCTTCAATTCACTTTATATCCTTCACTCCTTTCGACTTTTTCAACTTCTTTCCAAAACCCTTCATCACACTTTCTTGTATCAAGACATTTTTCACTCTTTATTGTTTTTTGGTGAATTTATCATTTTCGTTGAAAGGTTCAATCATGAAGCATGAAGTTTTCCTTGTCATTTGTTTTCTATCCCTACGTGTATAACCTGTGCTCTAACATTGGCTCTGATAATTCTCACATGGCATAAAAAAAACTTGAGTTTAATAAATATGTATAATTTGTAAGTGGTTATACATATTTAAAGTTTTTCATAAAATATGTACTTACTTTTTCTTCTCCCACTTAATTGGTAAGGCATTTTTTGACTTTTCTTTTGAGGAAGTGTCATTTTGCTCTTCAAATTTTCATACATTTTTTAATTTGACTCCTAGATTTCTTATAATATTAATTTTACTTTCAAACTTTTGAAATTTTGATCAATTTAACCCCTGCCGTTTTATTCTGTCTACAATTGGACAGAAAGTGATGAGTTGTTCCCCTAAACTATTCTTTGGAGGGAATATAAAAGGGTTTTGCTTACAAAAAAAAGTTGATGTATTGAACTGTTGAACTAGGATTTTCTTGGGATACAAATCGAAATTAGGGTTTTCAAATTCCTCACATCAAATCGAAATCAGAGTTCATCATTCAACTTTGGTCACGAAATCACATTAAATGATGGGTTGGGTTCGAAGAGAGAAGGATGGCAATCAAAGAAATGGAGCTTTTTGTACATTATTGTTTTTTGTTTGGAATGGTTGCCCTCAACGTGTTAATTATGTAATGGTTGTGTTTAAAATGTCACAAACAATTGCGTGTTTTGAAGATTTAAATGACAAATTATCAATGTTGGTTTTATGAATGGTGATTGCGCTCTACTTGTTAGTCATGTAATGAATGATCAATTATTTTGTTTTTTGCAAACAATGGTGATGCTCTGATTTTTTATTCATTGGTGGTGTTGTTTTTTATTCAATGGTGATGGTCTTTTTCTTTGGATGTATGCCATTTGATGGATGGATGCCATTTGAAGATGCCACGAATTATCAATGTTGATTTTTTTGTTTTTGTTTTTTGGTTTTATGGTTTGAACTGGCCATTTGAAGAGGCCACCAATTACCAATTTGTATTTTATTTTTTGAGTTAATGGTGACTTCTTATTTGTTTATTTATTATTATTATTAAATGGTAACGCTTTGTTTTTTTTTAGGGTGGACACAAATTGTTTTTAAGGGAGAAACAAATGATGTGATACTCTGTTATTTTTTTTTTTTTTTTTTATTTTAGAATAAAACCTTAACACAAAATATGAAATTTTCATTCATAATATTTTCCCACATTACATTCATTCGTAATATTTCCCCACATTACACACACACAAAAAGATATCAACTGTAAATGGAAAATTTCAGAGTATAGTTCCCAAATAGCCATTTTGTGCTTGTTTTGTGTCCGAAGTGACGGTTGAAAAATCAATATAAAATAGAAATCTTCAAAGTATAGTTCCCAAATAGTTGTGTGTGTGTGTGATGGTTGGAGTTGATTTGGATTAAAATACAACTTATATGTAGGGTTGTAAATTTGGCTCGACATAAGTCGGCCCATAGGTTAGAAAATTAAGCCCAGACCCAGTAGGTATTTGGGCCTAGGTTTGGGCCCGGCCTAGGCGGGTTTGAGCATTTTTAAAAAAATAAATTTATCAAAATTTTATTATTTTTCATTAAAAAATAAATTGGGCCTTGGGTGGCTTGGATAGGGCAGGCCCACGGGTCAAGCCCGGCCTGGCGGGCCAGGCTTGAAAATAATGGGTCAGGCTAAGAATCTTAGACTAAAATCCATCCCAAGTTATTGAGAGTCATTTTTACACCCTACCTATATGACATGAAATGTAACTAACCATTTACAATTGGTCGGGCTGAATTCTCCCTTTTAGATAAAGGTTAAGTGTACCTAGTCACTATTTATTTACTTAATAATGCAAGACTTTACTCACAATATATTAATGGTTTATTATTCCCCTTCTGATTTATTTAATTTTGGGTTAGGTAGACTTGAGGACAGTCTCAAATTCAAAAACAATTATGTAGTAAATTTATTTTAATATTAAAATACACAAACTCTAACAATTAGAAAAAATTTCATAGCAGATTACAAGAAAATTAGGTTTATACCTTAAATAAAAAATTTAAGAGTAAATTATAAATACACTTCTTGAAATTTGTTTAAAATATAAATTTTTTTTTTGTAATTTTAAAAGTTACATCCCACCATTTCAAAATTCTAATCGTATGATAAATAGTTTATTTTATTAATAAATCATAAGTTAATTAATAGTTTTTAATAATAGCATAAATATATTTTAACTAACAATTTTAATAATTTTATTATTGTAAAGAAAAATAGTTAAATTTTTTTTTTGTTAATTTTGTAAAATGAAAAATCTAAACAATAGGGTATTTGTAATTTTCACGAAATTATAAATACACTTCTTGAAATTTGTTTAAAATATAAATTTTTTTTTTGTAATTTTAAAAGTTACATCCCACCATTTCAAAATTCTAATCGTATGATAAATAGTTTATTTTATTAATAAATCATAAGTTAATTAATAGTTTTTAATAATAGTATAAATATATTTTAACTAACAATTTTAATAATTTTATTATTGTAAAGAAAAATAGTTAATTTTTTTTTGTTAATTTTGTAAAATGAAAAATTTAAACAATAGAGTATTTGTAATTTTCACAACCACAACACAAGTGACAATCTATATTTGAAAGAAAACTTTAAGGATATGCTTATAATTTACTCAAAATTTAAATATTATTATTAATTTTCAATTAACAAGCCTAATGATTGTGTAATAGCTTTTATGGTGTAAGATTGAGAGTTCATGAGAAAAGAGCAAGATGGAGTTGATTCATTTCACAAGCTTTTCGGGTCGTTTTCTTGGGTTAAAATATCGGGCCAGGTTGACCCTACCCGATTCATGAAAATTTCCGATGGATTTGACTGAAGGAAGTTCCCAAGAACAAGGGCGCTGACTTGCTAGGAAGGTCCGTCAATGAATACAAAATGCATAATAAAATAACTTGATGCTCTTGCAAGAGTTAAAAATAATAAAAAAGCAATGCTAGGTATTATGAAAAAAAATTTATGAAAATAATCATGAAAGATTTATGACTTTTGGATTACATTTAGAATAAAATGTCACACACTAATCAAGGTAATCCAAGGGTCATAAATTTTTCATGATCATTTTCATGAAAGTTTTTTCATAATCCTTAATTTTTCTCTAAAAATAAAGTAAAAAAAATCTAAAAACTACATATTTTAGTATATAAAAGAAATGATGATTGGAGACAAATAGTAATTGGACAAACAAACTCATCCCTATTAAACAACAACGAACCAATCATCTCAATTCTGAGGGAAAAATTCAACAATTTTTTTTAATCCAGACAAACAGCAAGCCCTTTTGTTTCTCTGTCCTGTCCTCTGAAACTGTCAAAGACTGGTTTGGGTTTTGGTCCAACCATGTTCATGTTGTCATTACAGCATCAATAGGAGAAGCACAAAGGTTGACATGGGCAATTGCTGGGGATCTAAATCTGCTGAACTTGTCCACTGTAACACTAACACCACCACCCCCACCACCATCGCCACCATCGCCACCACTACCACTACCACTACCACCATCATCGCCGCCACCACTGGACCTTTCACTCCAGGTACAACCCAGCACCAAAATCTAGATTTCAGTACTATTTACTTTATCTGGTCTTGTAATTTTCATATGTTGTCTTTGCCTTTTTGGTTTATTTCTCTGGAATTTTCATTTCTTGTTCTTTTATTTTACTTTTCTTCCAAAATCACCACATGGGTTCTCTATTATTTATTTATTTAAATTTTGCTATAAACGTAATATGTGGATACTTTTCTTAATTCAGATGAAGCCCAGAATCAATATTGTTGTTCTTTGCTTGATTGAGTGAAAAACCCATGATGAATTGATAATTGGATTTGTTTTTTTGTTTTTTGTTTTGTTTTGTTTTGTTTTTTTTTTTTTTTTTTTAATTTTTAAGGGACATCAATATCGTTGTTGTTTACTTAATTGAGTAACAAACCCATGACCAATTGATAATTGGAATTTACTTTTTTTGGTTTTTTTAGGGACATCTAATGGTGACAGCAACGACGTTGGATTTTCGAGCAGTAGTCCCAGCCAAAGCCAATTCTCAGTTGCAGCGAGCGATGATACTTGTTTGAATGGAGAAATATTGGCCACACCAAACTTGAAGGTTTATACTTTTGCAGATTTGAAGACCGCAACGCGAAATTTCAAATCAGATACTGTGTTGGGAATTGGTGGTTTTGGGACAGTGTTCAAGGGATGGGTGGATGAGAAGACGCTTGCACCGTCTAAGTTTGGCGCCGGAATGATTGTAGCCATCAAGAAACTGAGCCATGAAAGTGTGCAAGGCTTTCGAGAATGGCAGGTAATACTTTGTGATTCAATTCTAAACTTGTCACCAATACCACAATTTAGCATTTGTGCTTAAATAATGATAACAATTATGACAACAAAAATGAGGAGGAAAGTAAGAGAAATGCTTCTTTTGGTGTCCAATGCTGGCTGTATTTACTTGCTAGAAATGGGTTGATGGTCAAGCATAGTCTCTGCCATTGATTCAAACTGAGAACATGAGATGGGCAATTGTTAATGCTTTTATGTCATAATGCACTTGTGGATGGAGGAAAAAGCCCCTTCTTTCCAACAAAAAGAAGCTGCAAACAATTATGGATGCACGGATGGGATGGGCTCTCTTGCTACAATTGACTAGAATGAATGAGTGTTGTATAGTGCGAAGGAGATGTTTGTGTGAGCACGCGTGGGGATGATTGTCTGAGCCTGTGCATAGCTTGTCATTGTTTACTTTTAAGTTTTATCCACAGAGTGCTTCATTTGTTCCACCATTATTTATTGGCTTTCTTCAGCTTTGTAGCTATTTTTGTACATTTTTTTTATTTCTAATTTGCTTAGACATTATAGCAAATTAATGGATAAGAATATAAATGTATAGAAGCTAAAACTTACAAGCCTTCTATGAGGTTTTGACAACATCATTTGGTCACTTTAAGTTCCACAATTTCATTTCTATTGATAGGTAATAATATTCTAGCTAGTGTGATTGAGTAACATAAAATAAAATAAATATAAGTAAAATAAATGAAAAAGGAAGACGAAAGTCATGAAACAAAAAATTAAGTTTTCCTGGTCACATTCCATGGGACAAGAATGTAAAGCATAGACATTATAGCAAATTAATGGATAAGAATATAAATGTATAGAAGCTAAAACTTACAAGCCTTCTATGAGGTTTTGACAACATCATTTGGTCACTTTAAGTTCCACAATTTCATTTCTATTGATAGGTAATAATATTCTAGCTAGTGTGATTGAGTAACATAAAATAAAATAAATATAAGTAAAATAAATGAAAAAGGAAGACAAAAGTCATGAAACAGAAAGTTAAGTTTTCCTGGTCACATTCCATGGGACAAGAATGTAAAGCAATGGCCTCGCAATTTTTTTAAATTTTTTCTTTTTTTGGGGATAGGTAATACTTGTTCCTAAACCTGTAAGCTTGGAGTGCCCTGTGCACTATATTTTCCCTGCAGTTTGAATCCAAACCTATGCTTACCTTTGGTTTTACATTATAGGTCTTTGGCAGTGACTTGGGGCCTCTTATTTTTGATAAGTTTCACGCTAGATGTGATTTAATGAGGCATTTGTTTTGATAAGTGAATTAATGGTATTTATTACTCTAAGAAATGTACATGGGAATTTTTGTGGGTATTGTAGAAAATACTTGTTTTTTAATTAAGTGTTCTAAAATCTCAAGGGCACCAATGGCTAGACTCAATTGTACTCGTGTGTTTTAGAATAAAACTTCTAATAATTGATTGTGGCAAACTCATTTGAGAAGTGACTATCTGTTTTCAGAAATTTCTTTTGATGTACACCTTATGATAAAATCATTTTTAGTGAATCTAATGGTCTAAATGAATATTGAATTCTTTATTCAACGTGGAATCGCAGATAAAAAAACCTACTTCTATGAGAAGTAGGTGTATGATAAAATGATTTTGAATGAATCTAATGGTATATTTGTTTCTTCCATTGAAAATGCAGTCGGAAGTGAATTTCTTGGGAAGACTTTCGCATCCTAACTTGGTTAAGCTGTTGGGGTACTGTTGGGAGGATCAAGAGCTTTTACTTGTATACGAATTTATGCAGAAAGGAAGCTTAGAAAACCATCTTTTTAGACGTAAGAACTTGAGCGGAAAATAAATAAATAAATAAATAAACAAAAACTTTGCTGGTCCACGGTTATATTGCATTGATTGCTGGATTTTTTGGTTGTCCAGGGGTTTCTTCTTCTGTTGAACCACTTTCTTGGGATCTGCGGCTCAAAATAGTGATTGGTGCTGCACGGGGCCTTTCTTTCTTGCACACTTCTGAAAAGCAAATCATTTACAGGGACTTCAAAGCCTCTAATATACTGCTTGACGGGGTGAGATTTTACATGATCATGCCTGTTGAGCATCGGTTGAATGATTCCATGTTCTCTCTCTCTCTCTCTCTCTCTGAGATCTCTTAGGAATCAATCTCAGTACTAGTTGAACTAGAATTGAGAAATGGTTTGTGAACAGTTGGATTACTGTTAATTGTGTTTTCTCAATGACAACTTCTGTTAGTTTTTGAAAGGTAAGTGACTCGAAACACTTTTTAGGACATGGGGATTGTCATTGCTTCTCCTCACATAATTCAACAACATAAATAGAATACCGGCATCATAGTTATGTAGATGCATATTTCCTCTAATCGCTATTGATATAACGAGATTTTTCATTTTCATTTTCCATTGAAACAAACATTTTAAAAACAAATGTACATTCAAAACCAATTATTCTGAAAGCTTCTGTCGTTTGTTTTTCGATTTTTACAGAACTTCAATGCAAAAATCTCAGATTTTGGCTTAGCAAAATTGGGGCCCTCGGGTGGAAACTCACATGTAACAACTCGAATTATGGGCACATATGGTTATGCTGCTCCAGAATACATTGCAACAGGTGAATATATATATTTTTCATTAGTCTATATTTGATGTAATTGGAAATAACCTCAACAAATCAACATTAATCCTTGCTAGTTCAAAGTTTAGAGAATTGAATTGTGGTAAAATGAATTAGCTGACACATCTGTGCACCATTTTGAACAGGTCATTTATATGTGAAGAGCGATGTGTATGGTTTTGGTGTTGTGCTGCTGGAGATATTGACAGGATTACGAGCACTAGATACCAAACGGCCCAGTGGGCAACATAACCTGGTTGATTGGGCAAAGCCCCTTCTTTCCAACAAAAAGAAGCTGCAAACAATTATGGATGCACGGATGGAAGGACAATATTCTTCAAAGGCAGCGTTACAGACCGCTCAACTTACTCTAAAATGCCTTGAACCAGAACCTAGAAACCGGCCCTCAATGAAAGAAGTCACGGAGGTCTTGGAACGGATAGAAGCTATGAGGATCAAACCCAAAGCATCCAAATAGGAGCTGACAAATAGAAACAATCACATTGAGCAAGGTAAGCTGAATTGGATCAACAAGTGTATGTTCACACAAATTGTGTACCCTTTTTTTTTTTAATTTTTTTTTTTTTTACAATTTGGTGACTTATTTGTTGAATGATTTCTGTAACATTTTCTTGAAATTCTTTCTTTGCAAATTTTGTATTGGTAATTGTCATTTGTATTTACATCGGGTGATTGTTGTAAACTAGGAACTATGATATGATTTTTATAGTATCATTTGTGAACGGAGTTGGAAATAATTTTGCAATACCTATTGAAAATTTAGTTACTGTCTTGCATATTGAAATTGTTTTAATTTTTTGGCCAGCTTTGATGGCTATGCAACTAGTAGAAGGAAAAAGATCAGAACAATCATTCCACTTCATATGCAAGTATGCTAGAAATACATCTATGAACTAAAAATTTGGCTTAGAAAAAAAAAAAAAAAAAAAAGAGAGATAAAAATATAAGGATTCAGTTTTTGCTTTTGAAAAATGTGCTGCATCACAACAGACGGTGCCTCTAGAGACTGCTAAAAGAAGAAGGAAGGGGAAGGGGAAGGGGAAAATGCCAACCGGATGGGTAAGTCGTCAAGCCCTAAAGCAGATATGTTTGCGTTGTCTCTTTTGATTTTTCTTGTATTTCCATATCAAAAATAAATAAATAAATAAATCAATGTATGCTCTGTTCATAAAAAAAATGTGTGTTCATGACCAACCAATAACAACAATGATAATAATGATAACAATAATAATATAACTCCATGCTTTTTGACTAAATCACAAATTTACAATAAGTTAACCTATAAAAGTAACCAAATTATATATATATATATATATTTTTTTTTTGAAAGAAGGAAAAGAAAAACTGAGATAATTTAATCCCAGAAGGTGGATCTTCTTCTATTAAAACAGGTCTTATGCTTTATGTGTGGTTTTAGGATGTGTCCAAGAAAAAGAAAGGAAAAGAATAAAAGAAATAGAAGGAAAATGAATGAAACAAAATCTAAATTCTTTGTTTCTATTTGGTTGGTCTATGAAAATAAGAAAAAATTAACATGTCTACCTCATTAAATACATATATATATATATATATATTTTTTTGGTTACTAATTAAAAAAAAAGAAAAGAAAAAAAAAAAAAAGAACAAGGTGCCATTTATTATAGCAGCCTTGGTTGGTTGATCTGCTGATGTGCTTTACAAAATCTGTTGAAATCTCTGTTACACTCTGTTTGGATCAAGTAATTTGATGAGAAATAATAAAAAATGAAATAAAAAATAAATTATTTTTCCATATTTATTTTTTAAGTTAGCTGAGAAAATGTGAGAAATGATCTCTCTTATTTTATAATTTCATTTCTCATCAAAAGCGGTTTTCATAATATGGAGATGCCCATTATTTATTAAAATACAAAAGAGAAAAAAAAAAAAAAAATTCTACTCTTATTCATATATTACCTACTTTGTTTTTCTTATTTATCCAACGCGAAAATAAATAAATTTTTTGTCACTTTTCTTTCTTCTTTTTTTTTTTTTCTACATTATTCTTCTTTAAATTTAAATTCTTTAAACACAGATGAAAAATAAAACTAAAGAAATTCGATTTACACTACTCATTACATTTCCTAGTACGTTTTGCTAGCACAAATCAGCTTTAAAATCTTGCCCAGTTCAAACCCTAGAGTCTATGGGCCGTAATCAAGCCCTAAAACATGGAGAACCATTGGGCCGATGGACTACACACATCCTAGCAAATCCTATGATAACTATTATTATTATTTTCTATCCGTTTTATATTATTTGGCTTCGTATTATTATTTTTCAATTAATATTAATAATTGTCATGAATTTCCATATAAATAGCAATACAAAACAATAATAAAATCAATGATATTATAGCATTTTTCATATGATTCTTTTTTATTTATTTATTTTTGGCCATACGATAGGATGTTACAGGATTATATTATAATGGAAGGATCATAGTCGCTATATCGACTTGAATCTTGAACCTCTAACCTTTTTACTGTCCCCGGGACAATTACATGGATTATTGGGCAACTGCCATACTCTCATTTTCCAAATGATTTAAAGACATATCCACATTAACTTTTTTGAAAAAATGAAACTAAATTAGGAATATTTTAAATATTTTAGATACATCTATATTAGTTTGAAGACAATTTTTTTTATTTATTTATCAGTTTTACTTGACCAAATAGCCTAATGGTTTAAATTGAAAATAAATTAAAATTGAAATTAACAAAATTAAAAATTCAAGATTTATTTATTATAGATGTCAAATCTTGATTTTTTTTTTATTCTCTCAAAAAAAATGGAAGGATTGAAAAAAAAAAATAAAAACCCACACTTGACTTTGCACCATGGAAATCTAGAAAGAAAAAAAAACCGCGTGATATGCGGGTCACTGAAAAAAAACTGGTCCCCAAATGGGCAAAAATAAGCATATCAGGCGGAGAGCATGTATATATATATTTTATATAATTGACTTAATTTTATCATAAAATTAATAATATTAATTACAAAATATGTAATTTTATTATAAATTAACCTAATAAAATATCTAAAATTCGTGACTAGTTACAATTTTTTATTATTTATATTTATTTTATGATTGATATGACAAAATTTTATATTTTTCTGTCTTAAAATATTAGTCCCATTATTTTTTTTTTTTTTGTCTCAAAACATTAGCCGCTTTTCAAAAATTAAGAATTAAAATAATATAAATTTCTATTATACCTTTTTTTTAAAAAATGTTAATAACACAAAAAGTTTAATTATGACAATTGATATTCTTTAAAAAAAATGTAAATTTAAAGGGTAATTCTTAAAAAGAAAAAATTACCCATAAATCCTATACGGAAGAAAGTTAAACCATTTAGTCTTAAAAAAAAATTGTAGACCATTTAGTCCTATTTTTTTGGTAGGTGTTTTGGGGATGATTTTATCCCATTTAGTTTACATCATTACCCTTGATTATGATTGGTTCCTAAAATTGTTGATCTGTTGGGTGGATAGGCAATGTCAACGTGGGGGTTGGATTTCTGATTGATTAACTTGAATTTATTGTATATTGGAGGAAGATTGGCAGGCATTCTTGCACTATGTTTACTGGCCATTTTTTTCGGCGGCAACCATTGTTTGTCCACGTGATCATTGGTGTGACATTTTGCTTGAGGCTTTCTGGTGTGCCTTACGCCATCAACCCAACCATCATAACTACTTTTTTCACGTAAACATTGTAAAATAAACTCCTTTCATATGGGTTTTAACCTCAATTGTGGTCTCTCGATTACACCAATTATTACATGTCAAACAAAGAACAATGAACCTTAATACCATCACGCTTCACCAACAAACACAATATAAACACATCATACAATATCAAGCATAACCACTTCCATTGCACATTAACAATATAAATAAATTCAACTTAACATGGGTTCAACATCGACCATGACGTGCGTTACACTGGTCGTTGCCAACAGGACCTTTTGCTAGACCACATTCTGATGCGAAAATTAATCCGCGCGGTACCACATAATTGCAAACTATCAATATATATGTGTGCAACAGAACGTACAAAATTAACTCTGACAAAAATCCCTAAAAATCACCAACACAGCCACACAACACAACGTAGTACCACACTTACAATTTCAGGATGTACACAAATTACACAAACACACCAACCACTACTTTGTCATCACACATGTTAGCAAATCACAATACACTCAAACAACGTAAACACGCTACCAGTTGCGTTAATGAAATCTAAAATAACCAATCAGCCATATCTAATTACATACACATGACAACTCAAACACAAAAAAACCAGGGACTAACAATCTTCTCCCATTTTTCCCAATATTACGACAGTAATCAGCCACATTACCAATTAATAACACCCAACACCCAAGCACATTACATGTCACGATCCAAACCCGCCCCTATGGGTTAGCACCGTTAACCGTCAGTAGTCCGTGATTACCGCAAGGTGCTTAACAGTAATGACAGTCAATACCAGAGTAAAGGGCTGGCGAAAGCCAAAATAGTAAATAAATGATGTCCAATGAGCTGTGATAGCTGACATCCAAATTTGTTATATAAACATTGGCCACATTGACAACCAAAAGATATTATATATAACATCCATGTCAGGGATTCCAAACCCTAAACATAACTTACAGTCAAGGTCATATAACATTGTTACAAAACGAGACAGGAAGGATGGAACTCGAGACACCCAGAGCAAAAGGGCCTAGCTTGAACAGACATGGAATAACCCCAAATGAGGCACAAAGGTTGCTCTGAGCAAAAACAAGAGTACCCAGACGGCTCCTAAAGCTCCGGTCCGGTGCCTGGACACTTATATATTATATATTAAACCAGTGACCTTAAAAACCCAGTGAATAAACAGTTATGTAAAGAGTTAAGAAATGAATATCCTTTCAGTAATTAAACAATGCATATCAGTCACTATAGAAAACCTAGCAGTTCATTGTGCATCTATAGCAAACAGTACAGTAGGTCTTAAGAGAACCGAACAGTGAAGTTAAATGGCCATCGATAACAGTAACAGTAGGTGTTCCTAAACATGGGAAACCGGAAACAAAGTCTCTGTGACAGTAGCAGTAACAGTACAGTAACAGTAAAATTGCTAAGAAACGCCCAAAAGTCGTTCAGTTAGCCGATCCTGGTAGCTTCATGCAGTACTTGATCAAGTTAATATGGACTAGTCTTGCATGTCTTTTGCATAATTGTATACTGAAAAATTGAACTGGAAACGAATTCGTTCAGAGAATGTGAAAGCAATGACTCGCAGATTATCATAGTCGATGTTGATTGGGCATCAGTTCTAATAAGATTGAATAATCGATAAGGTGGAACGATATCTACAACATTGTTGACTCAGCAGAGCACTGGGTGTGTGTGTGTGCAGTGTAGTATTAGCTAAGGTAAGGTAACGTTGGTTCGGCGTAGACTAAGCAGTTCCGGTTATTCACGTGTCTGTGCATCGCTATCATACTCCTTTCCTGTTGTACAAACATCTCGTTAGCAGAGAATATGAAAACCACGCTCACTCCGTGGAAATTCGTTTACGTGTCTTTTTAGTAAGCTTGTCTAGAGAGCGCTCTCTCTACACACCCTGATTGAGTCTATGCTGTACCCGTGGCCGTAAGTACGCGCGGAATAATAACAATATCTCGCCCTGCGCTAGACAGTATTTATTAGCAATAGCCTTAATAC